AGATTTTTGCCTATGTTTTCTACTAAAACTGAGTTTCTTGACCTTGTCACTACTAGCATTTTTGGGCTGAATAATTGTTTAGTGTGGGGGGCTGTCCTGTGTAGCACAGGATGTTTAGTGTCCCTGGCCTGTACCCATCTTGATATCAGTAATACTTCTCCAGGCCGTAATCATCAAAAATATCTTCATCTTAGGTGTAATAAATAGCATTTGACAATATTAATCATCTTAAAATCACTTCTTTTCTTGGGTTTTTCTGATTTTTCTCTCTACTTCCCTGGCAGTTTTCTTTTAGTATTCTTTGCTGTTTTATCTTCCTCTCATAAATCCCAGAATTATAGTTCGAAAGTTGCTGAGGAGTATGATTCAAATGTGGTTTGCAAGAAGAAAATTTTGTTTGTATGATGTTTTAAAAAAATTGAAATAGAATATAGTGAACATATAATGCATAGCTGGTCACAGGTGCGATTGCTCTATTCCAGAACAGAATTATTTATCTTTTTGAGTTTTTAACTTGTGCTTAAAGTATTGGAATATTTTTGTTCTCATCCACATTGAGGCTTTAAATATATTTGGGCTATGTGCAGTGACACGTGGTTGTAGTCCTTACTACTTGGGGGACGAAGCAGGAAGATTGCTGGAGTCCAGGAGTTTGTAGAAGCCAGCCCAGGCAACATAATATAGAGGGAAAAAAAAAAGATAAATATACATATACAACCCAAATTTCTATGTTCAACCTTTCCTTCTCTCTCAAACTTTGTCCGAAAACTTGTCACCCTTATATCTATCAAATATATTTAGAGATTTGAGGGCTTTTTGACATTATAAAGGTATAACACCAAAATTCTTTATATTATAGAAACATTATAACAAAATACATAATGTAGAAAGGAAAGGAATGTTGAACAGAGGTTACTTAAAATTTATGAAGAGAAGTTAGTATGAGCATGTTTGCATGGTGAGAGGAATGGTTCAGTAATGAGAGAAAAATGGAGGAAGGAAAGTAGAAAAGAAATTTTTCAAAAAGTATGGAAAGGAAATCATTGAAAAAATGATGATAGGGCTGGGGTTGTGACTTAGTGGTAGAGTGCTTGCCTTGCACATGTGAGGCACTGGGTTTAATCCTCAGCGCCACATAAAATATAAATAAATAAAAATAAAGTTAATAAAAAGTACGTCTTTGTTAACAATGTGATGAAATGGGAAGGACTTTGATAGTCTTTTTTTTTTTTTAAACATCATAAGATAGAAATCTTAGTAGGCAATGGGGTTGTAGATATGGTGGTAAGAAGACCTGGGAGTTCCTGTTCTTTGAATAATGGAGTAGGAGATGAAGTCACGAGTTCAAACCAAGGAAGGAGAGTTCTGTAGAAGTCACTTGAAAGAGTTAACTCACCAAGAAAATGTATTAGGAGTTCCAGGTGCTACCGAGTAACCTTGAGGTTTAATGTCATCAATTTAAAGAAAAAACAGTCTGTCTAATGGGGAGGTTTCTCTAGCACTGTGCTGCCATTTGGATTGAGGCAATGAGAAGCTTCAGCCATTGCTAGCTTTTGTCTGGCAAATAAGACAATGGAGAAGGCAAGAAGATAAAGAGCATCTGTAAGGTGGTGATTCTAAAAATGCCCATCAATTCTCAGTGGTAAAGAAGGAAATACAGATAAGAAAGACATGATGACAAATGTAAATGTGATAGGATAGTTATCTGTGTGAGATTAAAGAATCATAAATTAATAAAGAATTAGAAGTTCTCATTTATAAGTGGAAGGAGCAAAGAATAGTATAGTGCTTACCAGTGCCTATGAATGGTGTAGTGGAGAGGGAGATAGAGAGAGGATCATTATTTGATACAAGGGTGCAATTGAATAGCAGGAGGAATAATTTCTAATGTTTAATATCACAGTAGTATAACTATGGTTGATAACAGTTAAGCGAATATTTCAAAATAACTAGAGGAAGTGGGTTTGAATGTTCCCAACAAACAGAAACAGATACATATCGGAGGTGATAGATATGTCCATTCATATCATCTAATCATTACACATTATATACACATGCTGGGTCATATTGTATTCCATAAAATGTAATATTATTATGTGTCAAATATATAAGAGAAATAACAAAAAGCATAAATATGGTAGAATACTTGTCTTGATGAGGTTAAAGAATTACTAATGTTGAAGAGTTAGAGTAAGTCAATTGTTGTGTCTCATATATGTATAATCCCAGAGACTCAGGGGGCTGAGACAGGAGGACTGGAAGGTCAAGGCCAGTCTTAGCAACTTAGGTCATAAGTAACTTTGTGAGTCAGTTTCAAAATAAAAAATGAAAAGGAATGGGAATGTGGCTCAGTAGTTAAGTGCCCCTAGGTTCAATACCTGGTTCCAAAAATAAAAAAATAAACTAAATAAATAAAAATAAAATAAATGATTTGTGGAGGTCAGAGGTTGGATATGAGAAGAGTGAACTAAGAGATCCAGTCATTGTCAAAGAGATTGAGAGATGATTTGAGCCTAGAGATTTTGTTATAGTGAGAGTCAAAATAACTGGAATCCCCTTGCTTTAAAACCTTCCATTGGCCCACTGTCCCCTATTGAATGGAGTATTCTCAAAGTAGAGGAGGAATAACCTTACAATTAATTATACTCAGATTTAATTTTCAAGTATTAGAAAGGTAAAAAATGTATTTTTAGCATCAATTTCATGTTGTATATTTGACTAATTTATCATAGAAGTGGTTGAGATAATTTGGGATGTCAAGGGTCTACTATTCTGTAGTTCCACAGCCATGGATGAGTATTATTAATATTTTAAAATATTTCTTTCCAATCTTTTTTCTTTGTATATATTTATATAACTTATACTATGTGTGGGTAGTTGAGTTTCTTTTAAAATCTTTACTAAATAAGCATTTTACTAATGCTCTTAAATACTGAAAATATCTTCTCCAAGATTTTTAAGAGTCTTGTTGGAAAATGTGAAAATCTTTCTAAATTATAACATATCTTGTTCTTATGGATTTTATGTTATCTAGAAGTAAAAATATGTCAATATTCTCTTAAAAGCATTTGAGTGGGTTAAGGAAGAAGACAGAGTCCACTAATGGACTATTTTCAAAATAATAAAAACCAATGCCATCCATGTTTTTAAAGTAAAATTGAATCCAAAGATTTTAGATAAATAATGAAAAACTGCAAGTTGAAGAGGCATGGTAAAGGGAAAAACAAATAAATTAGAAAGTATAATAAAATTAAGTTCAAGAAATATGGAAAAATAAATGTATTCCTAGCAATTATAATTAAGAAAAAGAAAAATGAGTAGATTTTATATTTTAAAAAGCTGGACTAGTATAGTTAAAAAAGGAATTGAGAAATAGTATTAGCTAAGGCTCTTTGACCTAATAAATTTACTAGTGAAAATATTTACATTTTTAAGGAATATTGAATTTTCTTGTATTAAAAAATATAAAAAAGTTAGAAAGTAAAGCAAAACATTCTAAAATGCTAATTAATCTTATTTATGACTATCTATGAAAATAATAATGTTAGTAAATATAATTTATGAATCAATACAAAGATGTTTTAATATAAAGCAATTTATTGCTATACTTAAGTTGAAATAAGGAAAAGAAAGCTGCTACAGTGTAGTTTGATAAAAGTTACTACTTATTTCTAAATTATTTAAAAATGACAATGAAAGAATACTTTTCATAGCAGGATTGGAAAAATGTACTTATTAACTAATATCAAACAGGAGAGGAAAACACCTTTAAAATTGGTTACTTTCAGTATTTAATTCAACTTTAATTCAGTGATACTAATTAATGTGGTGCCAGTTCATGAATTGCTTGTTACTGTTCTGTCAAGAGGTAAGTATAGGATCTGGGGTTGTGTATCCCAGTAGTAGCACATCCTAGCACATGTGAAGTGTCCTGGGTTTGATCCTCAGCACCACATAAAAATAATTAAATAAAATATAGATATTGTGTCTATCTACAACTGAAAATAAAAAGAGGTAAGTACAGCTGGGCACAGAGGTGCATGCATGTAATCCCAGCACTTTGGGAGAATCCTGAGTTCAAAGCCAACCTGAGCAACTTAGCAAGGCACTAAGCAACTCAGAGAGACTCTGGCTCTAAATAAGATTAAAAAAGGGCTAGGATATGGCTCAGTGGTTAAGCTACTCTGAGTTCAATTCCTAGTCGTTTCCCAACACCACTCCCCCAACCCCACTCCACCTGGTCAAAAAGAATAAGTATAGAAATTGAGAGGAAGTGTTTGTTGGAAACTTTTATAGCAGTTTGACAGCAATTTTATGGGTTTGTTTTTGTTTTTAAGAACTAGAAATCAAATAGTTAAGCCTGAATTTTATATTTAGGGTTTATATAGTTTTAAATTACATTTTCTAGTTACTTTTACTAATTAAAAATAGTTTATTATTGCTTATTAATTTTAATAAATTATTAGTGTGATGAATTGAAAGTAGGACTACTAGTCTTTTACTATAGTTTAAAGATCAAAATTCTGAATCAAGCTGCTAATGCAAGAGTAAGTATTTAAAAAGATACAAATGTATCACTATTCATGGATGATACCATAATACTAGAAACTAATAAAGTGATCACATGTAGAGAGTACTGTACCTTTATGTTTGGAAAAATTTTTCAGTTTTGTTGTAATTAAATTCTAAAATTTTCTTATGTAGAGCCAAATCCATTGATTTAATGAACTAACTTAAAACACAGCAGAAACAGAACTAACTTAAAACATAGCAGAAACATCAACGATTCTTTAGGACTTTAAGAAATGATTAGTATTAGAAAGTGTAGTCAATAACGTAAGAAACACAGAAAGAACAGCTTTACTTTTTCCACTTATTTAGGAGAATGTCATAAAATAGGAAGCTAAATACTCATGGATGGACATTTTAATTTAAATGTTAATATGTATATTAACTCACTTAATGATGTGGCATGTGTTCCTTTAAATTTACTGTTATAGAGAACAGAATCTTGGAATTATTTTCCTCAAGAAATGGACTCTTCTCAAAGCTTGGATATATCACAGACCAGAATTAACATTGGAGCGGAAGGGTCTGAAGTGATAGAGTTCCCGTCTTTGGAGGAAGGTATATTGACCCAGTCAGAAGAACATGTAAAGGAACGAAACAGAAATCTCTTATGTTCTCCATTGCTAGGTAATGCCTTTGTATTTTTTACCTAGTAGTAATACCTCACATTTGTAAAGTAGTTTTTGGGGGACTGTTAGTCCTGTACATAAGTAAATCCTTTTTGAGTTGAGGAGCTCTATAGAGTTCTACTCAAGGGATTCGTTTGTTTTTTGTTTTCTACACTGGCCAGCTGGTCTAGTTATGGCAAATGTGCATTTACCCTTCATTTTATCATGCCCCAGTGCTCATAGAAAGCAGAAAGGTGCACTTCCTCTTTAGTGGGTATGCCTCTTCAGATCTTGAATTGGTAGAGTTGTTCTTGGGTAATGGAGATATTATTCTTTGACTGGTTCTCTCAGCAGTGGAGATTCCATGTTTCCAAAACCAACAAATAAATGTCTGTATTTATCTTGTTCAATTCTGGGAATTTTTTAAGACTTAGGTTATTATCTTCAGCTTTGAGACCAAAAAACTGAGATAAAGAGGTTAAATGGCTTAACTCAGGTAGATCTTACTACTTTCCTTTGTTAGGTTTAGAACAGTTTTATTAGTTTTAAAAAGATAAACTTTTATGCACCTTTCACATCATCAAGGGATTAACTGAAATGATTTTATAGAATTTTGTAGAGAAGTGTGATAGGATTTGATTCAGCAAGTTCTTTTCAAACATAAACTTATATTATCTAAATCAAGATGTTAGTGCTAAAGTATTCTATGATGTAGATCATTAAAGTCATTTAAGTCCACATTTTAACATGTTGACAAAATTAGAGTACTGTTGTTGGAGAGGTGAAAATCATAGTAGATGAAAGGGGTGGGGTAAGGGGAAAGGATGGTCAAATATTTGAAAGGCTGTCATGCTAAAGAGGAAGCAATTCATTTTTTCCCACATTTTAAAAATTGGTGCATTATGGGTTATATATGGTAATTGGATTTGTTGTTATATATTCATACATGCACACAATATAACAATATAATTTAGCCAGTATAATTCCCCAGCACTTCCCCTCTCCCTCCCTGGCAACTCATTTATTATTTTTCATTCATTTATTTATGTAACAAGTATCTTAAGTGTCTACTTGTTTGATTCTATGGATAGATAGATGAAATCCACTTTTTCTGAGAAGATAACTTAATAACAAAACAGTAGTACCCTAGGATGAGTGTTATAATGGTCTGTAGGGCAAGAATCTAAATGAAAGCCCCCAGATCAAGGCTTTATTTTGTAGTATTTGTGAGCTAAGAATGGTTTTTACATTTTTATTTTTCTTTTTTTTTTTTTGTTTCAGTGCTTGCTATTAAACCTAAGAGCCTCACAGCTATATCTGCAGCCATTTTTATTTATTTTTAAAAATTTTTTTTTAGTTGTACACAGGCATAATATCTTTATTTTATTTGTTTTATTGTGCTGAGGATCAAACCTAGTACCTCACATATGCTACCAACTGAGCTACAAACCCATTTTTATTTTTAAAGGATTGTAAAAACAAAATATAAGTGATAGTTCACTGTGACCAACAAAACCTAAAATATTTACTCTGTCTTTGCAAAAAATGTTTGCAGACATGTTTATAGGAGTTAAAATGAGAATACAGCACTTAGAGGGGTCTTTTTTCAATTTGATATAAGAAAGGATTTTCTAAAAGAAGCTTAATAACAACAACAAAAAAGGTGAGTTTTGTGTCACAGCAAAGTATCAAGCAAAATTCCGTAATAAATTTTAGTAGGGGTAAGAGACTATACTGTGACTTCTAAAATGTAAAGTAGTATAATTCCAGTTTCTCACTTACTAGAGATAAAATAGAACATTTAAAATTATTGAGTAGATCCCTGGATCTGATGGCTAGAGTATATTCCATTTTACTATTTTGTTATGCATTAATTCTGTCATTGGGTATTTAGATTCTCATCTGTGGTGAATATCACTGATGATGACAGAAGGGTTAAATAAAAGAGAAATCAAGGCTGTCAACAGTGGTCTAAATGTGAGGAAATAAGCAGTTGAAAGGTGTAAGAAAAAGGCTTGGCCATACCACTTAAGCACATATATATGCCATGCATGTGAGATTTATCACTTGTTAACTCTGGCCTGTTCCTTTATAAAATACATTTTCCTATTTACCTGGGTTAACTCTCCAACTCCATCTTGGAATAGTGTTAAATATTTAACAATATGCTGAAATGCCGCTTATAATTTATTTATTACTTGCTCTTTCTTAATTATACTTAGGTAGTTATTTAAGATAATAAGGATTTCTAAAGGCTGAATGTTGTGTCTGTATGCAGATGCTAACATACAATAAGGGGAATGGGGAGGGAAGAATAGAAGGTCTTTGGATTAAACAGAGGGGAATGAAGGGAAAGGGGTGATGGGAATAAGAAAGACAATAGAATGAATTGGACATAACTTTTCTGTATTCATGTATGAATACATGACCAGTGTAACTCCACATCAGGTATAACCACAAGAATGCGAAATTATACTTCATTTATGTGTGTCAGAATACATTCTACTGTTATCTATATCTAAAAAGAACAAATTTAAAAAAATTGAAGGGAAAAAATTTTGATGGATATGAATAAGCTATATTTATGTAGCTAGAAGCCTTGCGTGCTCAGTGGTACTTGTAGTTCTTAAAAATGCATCTCATAGGGCCTGGGTTGTGGCTCAGTGGTAGAAAGTTTGCCTAGCATGTGTGAGGCACTGGGTTCTATCCCTGGCACCACATAAAAATAAACAAATAAAATAAAGGTATTATATCCCATCTACAACTAAAAAAATTAAAAAAATACATCTCATAAAATATATATTATATGAAAAGTAAAAATTAAAGATAATATGGATTTCTGTAGGTTTGGAACCTGATTAAGGAGAACCCTTAATATATTTTTAAAAAATATTTATTTTTTAGCTGTAGTTGGACACAATATCTTTATTTTATTTATTTATTTTTATGAGGATTGAACCCAGGGCCTCGAATGTGCTAGGCAAGTGCTCTACCGCTGAGCCACAATCCCAGCCCCGGGAACTCTTAATATTTTTTAGAAAAGATTCTTAGATTCTTTAAATGCTCAGCATTTAATTGGACAGTACATTTTTATACTTGCCCAAGGTTCCCCCCTGTAGCATTAACCCTAGAATATTTGGTGACTATGTTAAAAAATCTTCATCATTCTTCAAGGGGTAAGGACATCTATTTTGAAAGTTTAAGACTGATTTTCTAAGTCAAAGGCCAAAGGAAAAAAATATCAGTTGTTCCTGGTGGTAACATCAGTATTTATCAATTTCTCATTTTTAATTAGTTAATTCAGTAAATAAATACTTCTGTTTTGAATATCTACTAAGTATACAGATACTTAGCTTAACCATTGAGGATATATCTGTGAACAAAGCGGAGGTAGAGCTGACAATTTTTATGGAAAACAAACAGACCAAAAATGAAAACAAGAATGTGAGGAGTTATGACAGATAAAGTGTGCAAGGGTATGAGAGTATACAGGCACATCTAGCTACTTGGGAGGCTAAGGCAGAAGGATTACAAATTTGAGGCTATCCTGAGCCATTTAGCCAGATCCTATCTCAAAATAAAAAATAAAAAGGGCTGAGATGTAGTTCAGTGGTTGAGTACCCCTGGGTTCAATCCCTAGTACTGAAATAAATAAATAAATTGTTAGAAAAGTGTACATGTAATCGTGGGAACAGAAGACAGCAGCTCTAGGAGCACAGCTTTATAGTCCAGAAAGTTACAAAAAAAGGGGGGTGTCCTAAGAACTTACAGATAACACAATTTTGACAAGTATAACCCAAAGACTGGTTAATGATCTACTGGTTCAGCACTTAGGGAGTAAATTAGATCCCACCATCGGAATTTATGAGGCGCCATTAGAGCTTCAGAGAGGGTTGTTATCTGGCCAGGGAAAGCCAGAATTTATGAGGTGCCACTAAGTTTCAGAGAGGGTTGCTATCTGGTTAGGGAAAACCAGGCATGGGTGAGTTTAAGGCACAGGCAGGCATTCCAAGCAAGTTTAGAAATTGCAGTAATTTATAGTAAAGCCGAAATTAACTTTTCATGCCTTTGTGGCAAGATGGCTCCCAATCTTAGGAGGGAATTAGGCTGGGTTTATCAAAAGGAGCCAGGAACAAAATATATAAACCCCAAGGGCAGGCCCCTAGTGACCTGACTATAGTTACTACCTAGTAATCTATTTAAATTATTAATCCATCTACGAGATTACAGATCTCATAATCTAACATTTCACCTCTGAGCTTTTCTGCATTGTCTGTCACAGTGAGCTTAGTGGGGGACACCTCATATCCAAATCATAACACTTGGTTTGCAGTAATTTCAAGGTAAACAGTGGTGAGAGGGTGGAAACTGCCTTTTATACATAGTATTGCAGGAATTCTGATTTTGTTGTTGTTGTTTGGTAGCAGGGATTGAACCCAGAGGTGCTTAACCACTGAATCACATTCCCAGCCCTTTTTTTATGTTATTTTGAGATGGGGTCTCCCTAAGTTGTTCTGGGCCTCACTAAGTTGCTTGAGACTGGCCTTGAACTGGTGATCTTCCTGCCTCAGCTTCCTGAGCCACTGGAATTACAGGTGTGAGCCACTGCACCTAGCAATATTGCAGGCATTCTGAAATTAAGAAATTATAGTTTGGCAGTCAATATTGCATCATATTGAGAAAGCAATTTAGCTTAGCAAAATACCACTCATCAAGATAATTTTAAATAAAATTTTGTTTTGGTAATAAAGGTTTTTTTTTTTTTTTTTGTTTCCGTTGATATTTAATTTGCAGGGGGGCAGAGGATTGAACTCTGGGGCACTTGACCACTGAGCCACATACCCAACCCTATTTTGTGTTTTATTTAGAGAGAGGGTCTCACTAAGTTGCTTAATGCCTTGTTTTTGCTGAGCCTGGTTTTGAACTCGTGATCTTCCTGCCTCAGACTCCTGAGCCATAGGTGTGCATGACCACGCATGGCTAATTTTTTGTTTTGTATTGTACAACTGTTAAAGAGTAACAACTTAGTACCTAGTTTATGCGTATTGTAAAATTAACTTTATTTTGTAGCACTGGGATCTGACCCAGGGCCTTGTGCATGCATGCTAGTCAAGTTTTCTACCACTGAGGTGTACTCCCAGTTCCTTGTTCATAGGTATTTAAGGGCATTGTCATGAATATGAATGAAGTTGACAGGAAATCACAAGAATTTTTTCCTTTAAAGCAATAGTTTTCAAACTTTTTAGCTAATTGGCATCCTTGACACATTTTAAAATTATTGGTAGCTCCAACAAGCTTTTGTTTATGTGGGTTATTGATAATTTCCACGTTAGGGGACTTAAAATAGAAATTTATGTTTTAATTTAGTTTTTTAGTTATAGATGAACACAATACTTTTATTTTTTTATTTTTATGTGGTACTCAGGATTGTATCCAGAGCCTCACACGTTAGACAAGTGCTCTACTATTGAGCCATAACTCCAACCCCCTTAAAACAGAAATTGAGAAAATATTTAATGATTCATTTAAAAATAGCAAGTATTTAAAATAGTAAAGCTGAAAATTCCTCATTGTATATTAACACAAAGTGTAGTTTTGTAGAAAATTATTATTTTCCAAAGCAAAAATATTTATGACTAGCCTTATTTTACTTAACTTTAATATCTGACTTAGACGACAGCAAGATACTCATAACTACTTCTGCATTCAATCTGTTGCTGTATCATACATGTCATAGAAAATGCCACTGTTCCCTTTTAAGAGAATGAGAGTGAGTAAGGCAAATTATATTTTAATATTACTTAAAATATAAATTTGAATCTAGGTATCTTTTAAAAGTGTCTTAGGACCTAGGAGTTCCTTGGCCACACTTTGATGTAATGGATATGTCTTTATATTACTTAAAATTGAAAGGAACACTGAAAATAGTTATGAAACAAATAGTGTTGTACTGGCTAAAAGTTAGAATGCTTAGGTTCAAATATCATTGGCACTTAAGCTGTTTGAATGTGAATAGATTTCTTAATACTTTTTTTTTTTCCCCTGGGGTGGGTAACCAGGGGTTGAACTCAAGAGTGCTTGACCACTGAGCCATATCCATAGCCCTATTTTTATTTTATTTAGAGACAGAGCCTCACTGAGTTGCTTAGTGCCTCGCTTTTGCTGAGACTGTCTTTGAACTCACTATCCTCCTGCCTCAGCCTGCCATACCGCTGGGATTTCTTGCATGCGCCACTGTGCCCAGCCAGATTCCATAATACTTTTTAAGTTTGGAAATTATGTTTCTTCATGTATTATGTAGATATAATTGTACCTGTCCTGAAGATTAAATGAAATATTCTATGTTAAGTGTCTGGATCTTACTAGGCCCAATAAATGGTAGCTGCTATTATCATATTTTTATTCTAATGATTGTAGAAATGTCCAGTTAGCAGTATATTTAAGTACTTTATAAAGTATTACATGTGTAAGCTAAACAATCCATTTTTATATTGCTCAGCATTTTTATATTTGAAATTTTACAGTCATACAGGATAACTTTGCTTCTCCTGATTTGCCTTTGCTGACGTGTTTGACACAAGACCAGGAACTTGGGTCTGATTCCTTATTTCACCAAAGTCAACTAGATTTTGCACCTCTGAGGTAGGATGATTTATTTATTTTCCTCTACCCTTTCTACTCTTATCATGAGTTCTTTATAATATTTATGACTTCAGGCCAAGGCAGGACTTTGAATTAGAGGTAAGATATTAGTACACACTCTGAAGGTGGTAGTAAGGTGGTAAATGTGTATATTAATTTGGCATGGTAATGTATGTTTAGAGATGTGCAGGTGACTAGTTTATTTTAAAATAATTTCCAATATATTCTAGTATTTGAGGCATATTTTAATTAAAAGGCACACTGTAATTTCCTTTTTATCAACTTTCTCATATGTGTGCTACCAACATTTCTTCCCTTCTTCTTACTTTCATTCTTCAAAAAAGTATTCATTTCTAGATTACTTGTTCTACACTCTCATTTTGATCAATTGGTATTGAATCTGCCTACTTAATCTCTTTTTTTAATGATTTCTATTTCTGTTTTTTTTAAAAAAATATTTATTTTTCAGTTGTAGTTGGACACAATTCCTTTATTTTACTTATCATTTATTTTTATGTGGTGTTGAGGATTAAACCCAAGGGCCTCACATGTGCTAGGTGAGCACTTACCATTGAACCACAACTCCAACCTCAACCCTTTACCTTGTCTGTGAATATGAAGTTTTATAACATATTCCAAAGTCCTTTAGAGTAATCATAATGGGAAAAAAGTCTGGAATTCCTTAAAACAAAATTAAACTTATTCAAGAATATAATTCTCCTGCTTTTAGAACTGAAAGAAAAATCCACCTTAAATTAAAATCTATAGATATTGGGTTGGGGTTATAGCTCAGTGTTGTAGAACACTTGCCTAGTATGTACGAGGTCCTGGGTTTGATCCCCAGCAGTGCAAAACAAACAACACTGTAGATGCGTAGAATGTGAAAAGTAAGCTCTGCCCTTATGCTGTATATTTAGTTTTAATAACTATTGAAAAGTGCTCTCTACACGTTTGATTGTCAACCTATGATTAAGTTACTATGGTATTTTTTTTTGGGAATGTATCTCTTGAAATGGTTTTCACAAGAATAATAAAGACTGGTAAATGAATTAATACATGGTAGGTGATAAACTAAATATTTAAAATAGTAAAGCTAAAAAGACTATTTTGAATTTTTCATTAAAAAACTTTTTTTGATAATATGAAAATCAGATTCTGTTTTGTTTAGGAGAAGTCTGAGATAATATTAGGATCATAGTTTCAATAGTTTGCCTTGTGTTTACAAAGATTTTGCTTTATTCTGTTGTTAGCCACTTTAATGGAATTCAAAATTTGTTTTTTTACATACTTTCAAATAAAATTGATATCAGTGAAATATCAGTTTTGTATTTTTATTTTAGTGCTTAAAAATTAAATGTTATTAAAGTATTACTTAGTTATATATGATTATATATTTTCAGAGGAATCCCTGATAAGACTGAAGACATTGAATGGTTTTCTCGGCCATCGGAAGTTAGTGAAGCTTTGTACCAGGCTACCTCAGAAGTATCTTCAGACTTAGTTAACAGTTGCTTTAGTGTATCTCAGCACGTACTTACAGGTAGCACAGCCATTGGGTCTCAGCGCTCTTTTTTATCTCCTGAACAAGAGAATAATAAAGAGAATACTTCATCCAACACTGTTGATGAACTGAAAATCCCCAAAGATTCTGATAATTATGATGCTCTTTGTTCATATATGTCATGGAAGACACAAAAAGACATACAGCAGCCAGGAAACAATTTTGCTGATAAAGATCAAGTTTCAGTTTCAACTTTATCTGATATTAGTGATGAAAATATAGCTCCTAAAAGAAGTGACAGTTTTAATGCTTCTGGTTTACATGTGCATTGGGAACAGGAGCCTTTACAGCAGACAGAACCAGGTCTAACCAATAAGGACCATGTTTCTTTTCCACATGAAGTTGCTTATGATAATAAAATGTCATATTCTTTCTTGCGAGTTTTGTTGGAAAGAAGAGGAAAAGCAATTCCCTTGACATCTGATAGTCATAATTTTGAGAGTGTGTTTTTAAGTTCTTCTGCTGAGAATGAGGTGAAACAAAAGGTGAATTCTTTGGAGGGATATGAAAGAACTGAAGGAGGTCTACAGAAAGAATTATCTCAATGTTTTAAACAAAAGGAGTCTACAAATAATTTGCTATCTTCAGAGGTGCATCCCAAATCTTTAGATGTAAAGTATGTTGGGAATGTTGTAGTTCCTGATAATTCTGTAAAAGTTTCAGAAGCACATATACTCTCTGGAGGACATGATATCTCTAAGATGGAGGCTTCTGGTGGTCCCCTTCAGACACCTGCATCCAACTTGGATGAGACATCAGTACAACTGTATTTTCAAGAGGAAAGAAACCAAAAGGAAACATCTGCTTTTGGTGAGAAAAATGTCATTGCTACTGAAAGTGTAGCCTTTGAGGCAGTTATTGCCTCTATTGAGCCTTCCGAGAAAGTGAGTACAGTAAGTGAAATCCAAAATGGCATCAGTAAGTCTTTAACAGATGACAGCCACAAGAGAGAATCAAAAAGTCCAGATCTTTCCTCATTAAATTATATTGATGAAAACTCTTTGTTTGATACACTTAAGTTTCCAAATTATCAGTCTACTTCTGGGGAGTTTGAACCAGAAGTTTCACAACCATTATTGCATAAAAATGATGATGATAATAGTTCCCTATGTTGGTATCCAAATATAAAATCACCCCTTAATTCTCCTCAGAAAATGTTCATTAAGCTACTTTCTGTTATTCCAGAGCTTAAAGTCATCTGCTTTTTTAAGTGGAAAACCTTATGACCAGGCTGTTGGTCTTGGCAAAACACAATCAGCTGTATTTCAGCATGATATATGCAATGAACCATTTCTTCCTACTGGGAAGATAAAGTCTGTTTCTGCTCTTGACCTTGCAGAGAAGGTAGGATCTTCATACATTATTTATTCAATGAAGGTATCAACTTCAAATTCTTTGGTTTTACAAGATTTAAGCAAACCTTTGAAGAAGTTGCTGATTCCTCAGACTATAATTTGGGTAAGAATGTAAACTCTAGTAATGTCATTGAAGGTCCTCTTGCAGCTGTAGGAAGGAGCTTTTCAGCAACCTTGGTGGCGTGTGATGCAAAGTCATTAGGTGCTTTACCACTGACTGATGATGTGTCATTAATTGTAGTCAGCCAAGAGACATTGCTGAAAGCTGATATAGACCAAGGGGAAATACCTTGGCCTGTGGGAACTGAGTCCATTTTTACCATACATAGAGTTATGCAAAATGACTCCTGTTTTGTAGAGGAACTGCAGGAGAAGGCTGACTCTGATGACATTACTATGGATAATGATACTGAATGCTGTAGCCTAGATGAAAATGATGTTGTATGCAGTGAAAGTGTTGCTGACCTACAAAGAGAGGTGAGACACAATAAAATGATACTTGTTGGGGGGCTGGGGTTGTGGCTCAGCGGTAGAATTTTTGCTAGCACATGTGAGGCCCTGGGTTTGATCCTCAGCACCACGTAAAAATAAAATAAAGGTATTGTGTCCAACTACAACTAAAACAAAATTAAAAAAAAATGATAGTTGTGGGAAACATGGTCTTTTCAGGTATTATTTCAGGAAATTGTATTTGTCTTTATTTTGCTTTTTACTATTTCTAGACATGTGATCAACATGATTTGACTGGTGAGTATGGTGAGCTGGAAGTTTTAGAGAATTTGCTTGATGATCTTTGTGATAGCTCTCTGCCCTGGCAACATACTTCACAACTACTATCTGAGGAGGAAAGCAATTTTGAAAAGCCTGTAAGTGTTTCTCTTTGACATTTCTTATTGTTGGGTAAAGGAATATTTTAGGGAAAAGATGATAATGAAAGTAAAGGACCTATTATTAAACATCCCATAACACTAATGGGTGACTTATAACCTGGTCTTCATCTGATAGCCATCAATATGCTCCATTAAGTTGTTAGAGGCTGGCATAAAAGAAATGTTTATGTTTTATAAACCATAAGACCTAGTAATTTCTGTGGTGTCTTGGAAAGAGCATCTTTTGGAGCTCATAGGCCTTTTATCTTGAGGCATCCTAATTCATGTCATGCAGCAGCAAGTCTTTGGGACAGTGTTAAGATTCGATGCATTTACAGGGACATTCAAATGATTGTGCTTCCTTCTGCTGGTTTTCAATGTATTGGCTTTGATCTTAGCCAAAAGGCTAAGAAGTTGGAGCTGGGGTTGTGGCTCAGTGGTAGAGTGGTTGCATGTGTAAAGCACTGGGTTCGCTTCTCAGCACCACATATAAATAAATGAGTAAAAAAAAGGCCCATCAACATCTAAAAAAATATATAAAAAAAAGGCCAAGAAACAATCAGTGTACAAGCCTTGAAATAGGTATTAGAATATCCAAGTATTTTTATTTTGAAAAAGAAATCATATCATACCAGGTATGATAGTACTCTTTCTGTATGGCTCATCATGCATTCAGGGGATTTGCCTGCTCCTTGGATTCTTCCTTGCTCTCCTCATCTGTCTCTTAAGACTAGTCATTCATACTCCTTTACTTACTTTGATATCTACTAATTGTTCTTCTAAGTGATTGAGTAGCTACTTATTTGTGATAAGCTTAGAGCTGTGAAAAGGGCATAAAGATTGGGGTCAAATTTCAGTCAATTTATTTTTTAAGGATAAGGATATAGAAGTGTAGCTCAATGATAGAGAACTTGCGTAGCATGCTCAAGCCCTGGGTTTGATCCCCAGTAGTGCAAAAATAAATAAATAAATAAAATTAAAATAAAAAAAATAAATAAGGGCTGGGGATGTGGCTCAAGTGGTAGTGTGCTCGCCTGGCATACGTGAGGCACTGGGCTCGATCCTCAGCACCAAATAAAAATAAAATAAAGATATTATGTCCACCTAAAACTAATAAAAATAAATATTTAAAAATAAACAAACAAATAAATAAATAAAATTTAAAAATCCAGTTCATTTACTTTCTTAAACCTTGTGCTTTGAGCAAATGACTTTGGAGGCTGACTTTCCTGATCTAATCAATCTCATATATTTCCATATTAAATAAGGTAAGGTATAGAGCACTTATGGTGCCTGTTACAAGTGGTTTCCTACTCTTCTATCATTTTCAATGTCAGATGCTGCTTGGCTACTTGGTGTGTGTGTGTGTGTGTGTGTGTGTGTGTGTGTGTGTGTGTGTGTAACAAGTTTCTCCTTGTTCTTGATAGCAGTATGTAATAAAATACGATTTTAATATCACTTATTTTGGTTAACTCAAAAAATTACATAAGGTTCAGTCTTAGATTTGTTTTCTTTCTTCCCCTTCCTTTTTTCTTTTCCTCCTTCCCTTCCCTTCTCTTCCCTTTTCTTCCCTCCCTACCTGCTTGTACACCTAGTTTCTTCTCGAGATTTAAATGCCTTTCTCTGTATAGATGGTATCATCTCTTTTTGGTTCCTAATATTAATTGCCTTGAGTCAGGCCCTTATGGTATTTTTACATGAGGTTTTCTTGTGAAGATTATCATCGTCTCAATTTCAACTTTATATAAAAATAATCAGACTGATCAGATGAAAGTTGACTTCCTAAGTTCTTATAGAAATATTAGCACTTTTTCTAGTTTCTTTGTCATCTTTCTTTCTTTCTTCATTGTGGATTTAAGTGTGGGAAACAAAACAAATCTTGAGATTTTCTTCCTGATTCCTCCAATTTTCAATTAGTAATGAAGTTTTTATATTTTCAATACTTCCCATCTTTTTTCACTCTACATTTTATTTTGGATTACTTTCTCTAATAGTTCTATGTTTTGAAGTTTTGCTATAATGAAATTTTTATTGAAGTCAACATCATGATAGAAGTTTCTTTTTGTATTTCGAAGCTGAGGTGAAAAACTACTGTTAAATACACATACAGTATCTATGTATATCATATATGTTTATATTAATGAACTATATTTCAAAAGAGTTAGTTAGGAGTGGAATAATTGAAAACAGTGCTGTATGTGGAGTGGGGTTCCTTGGCAGCATCATCATTTTGGATTAGGTAATTCTTTCTTGGGGGGGGGGGTCTATTCTGTGTATTTTAGGATGTCTTGCAGCATCTCTGGCCTTTACTCACTAGATATCAGCAGCATTCTTTTCTCCCCAAGTCATAACAGTGAAAAATGTCTCCTGGCCTTGTGAAATATCCCTTTGCAAGGTGCAAGATCTTCCTCATTTGAGAACTACTAATCTAGAGAAAACTGCATAGGTAGTAGATGTAGAATATTCATTTTCACACCCTGACAACTTCCTGAGAATTGACAAAAATGATAAAAGAGGATAGAACACTTTGTGCTTATGTGCGTTTTTAGACACCTTCCTGAGAGGGTATAACTAGACCAATCTTTTTAGGGACTTCCAAAACGTAAAAGTTGTATATGTTTTCATGTAAGTATACTTTGAATTTGGTGAAAAGTTATACTTTATGTATTAAAGTTATCAATAATGATTGTATTTTCTAGCAAGGAAATATTTGGATCTGCTGAAACATTAGGGACTTCTTTTCAGCAATTTACTTTTACTTCATTATCAATTTATATTCCCAGCTAAGTTTTTTTTTTTTTGGTACTGGGGATTGAAGTCAGGGGCACTCAATCACTGAGCCACATTCTCAACCCTATTTGTATTTTATTTAGAGACAGGGTTTCACTGAGTTGCTTTGTGCCTCGTTTTTGCTGAGGTTAGCTTTGAACTTGCTATCCTCCTGCTTCAGCTTCTGGAGCCTCTGTGATTACAGGCATGTGCCATTGTGCCCGGCTCCCAGCTACTTTTGATTCATGAAGTTTGAGGACTTTGGGGGTTTGATAAATCAGCACTCTTGTAGTTCTTTGATGCTCTGATTTTTTCCTCTAAATATTTGTGAATGTCTAGAAATTTTACTGTTCGTTCTGTACTCTTTTTTTCCCACAGCATACTTCTCCCCTTAAGAAAATTCTTGAGTTTATCAAGAATAATATCATGGTTCAAATATTTTAATGGTGGTTATTATAAGGAGCAAACTTAGGTAACAGAAGACTTTTGGGCCTACTATCTGTAATATTCTATAAGGCAGATTTTAAACCCACAGGATGATTTGTAGATCTTCTCAGACTTTGACCAAACCAAACAATAAATGAATATATATGAATTAAGTATATATGAATGTGGATGATTTCAGCAGAGCTGAGTATATTGATTATAAGTAAATGTTGACTACTATAAGTTCATTTTTTATAATAATGAGGTTTGTTTTTTAACAGGTGAAGACTGAAATTAATCTTTTCTTCTTTTCTCTTTTCCTAGGTAGTTCATTCTAATGTGAGCATTTGTGAGTCTTTTTCATCTGTTTTGCCTCCATTTGTTCCTCATGAGCCAATCAGAGAGTCAGATTACCATGCTTCAAATCTCAGAATGTTGAGGGTGTCTCTTGATAATGTGCCAAAGACTCCCCAACATTTAGCAGGTATGTAGAAAAAGGAGGTAGTAAATGTCTTCCTTATGGTTAGCTTGTGAAAAATACCTTGCTATAAACTTTCTAGCAACTTGGTTAGGGATACTTAGATAGTTGATAAAGTATTATTTCTGGTTTCGTTTGTGAAGGTGTCTGTGGAGGAGATTTGAATAAGTAAATGTAGTAAGGAAGATCTACTTTCACCAGTATGGGTCCTGCTGGTTGGCTGAGGCCTGGATAAAACAAAAAGGGAGAGGAAAGGCAAATTTATTCTCTCTCTCGAGAGTTGGGACATGTTCCCTAGGACATCAGAACTCCAGGTTCTCTGGCCTTTGGATTGCAGGCCTAACACCAACAGCCCCTTAGGTTTTAGGCTTCCCTAGGCTGACAGCAGTATAAAATCATTATCTCCAGCTGTAGCTTACTTCTCAGAATTACTTGCCAATCCTTTTACTCAGTTACCTCCATCTCATATTGACTTTAACATAAATTCTAAGTCTTCTAAGCCACCTTCCTCAACCCCCCCTGACCTACTTCTATCACTTGCCTCCTCTCTTAGCAGATAATCTTACTTTCTGACTCAGAATCGATCCCCCTCAGTTTCCTTTCTATAAGATTATATGCTTCCACTCTTGTCCTCTTTAGCTCAAATAATTTTTTTTCTTTCCAGTTATATAAAATGTTTATCAAATGGCTTTGCTTAACTTTTTAAAATTGATGCATTGTAATTATACAGAAGGATTCAGTATACTGTATTCATGCATGCACATAATGTAATTTGATCAATCTCATTCCCCAGTTATGGGGATCTTCTATACCCTGAAATTTATATATTGAAATCCTAACTCCCAAGGTGATAGTATTAGGAGGTGAAACTTTAGAGAGGAAATTGGATTATATGGGCTTTTTTTGGTGTCAGTTATAAACAAGACCTCACAGATTTCTTTTCTCTTCTACCATATGAACAGTAAGAGAGCATTGTGTATGAAGAATAGGCCCTCACCAAACCCTGATATGCCAGCACTCTCATCTTGGACTTTTTAGCCTCCAGAGCTGTGAAAAATAAGTTTACATAGTGAGGATAGGAGTGATGAAGCTCTTCATGTCTTGGACCAGAAAGGACTCCTTTACTTTTTTTGTGTTCATATAGATAATAAGTACAACTAATAAATATCTAGACCTCCAAATATTTAGAGCTTTGGAAGGAAAATGATGTATTTACAATGCAAATTAAAGCCATCTATCTATTATAAAAGCTTTGTTGAAATATCACACCATAAAATTTACTCATCTAAAGTGTACAAATCACCACAATTTAAGAACATTTTCATTCCCCCAGAAGAAACCCAATTAGCTATAACTTCTCATTTCACATCTCTTCAACACCCCTAGCCCTACATAACCACTAATCCACTTTTTCTATAAATTTGCGTATTTTGAACATTTTCATGGTAAATGCAGTAGTACAGTTAGCGGTCTTTTGTGACTGACTTGCTTCACTTATATAATGTTATCAAGGTTTATCCATGTTATAGCATGAATTGGTACTCTTTACTGAAAATAGTAGTCGTTTGTATGGATGTATCACATTTGTTTATCCATTCCATAATTGATAGAATAGATATAAACACTTGACTATTAGGAATAAGGCTGCTATGAAAACCATGTTCAAGCTTTTGTGTATGGAGTTTTTCTTTCTTTTTGCTAGGAGTAAAATTATTTATTGGTTCCTGGAACTGTGTTTATCATTTAGAGAAACTGCTAAATTGTTTCCTAAAGTCTGTATCATATTATATTCCCTTCAGCAATATTAGGATTTCAGTTTCTCTACATCCCAACAATGCTTGTTATTCCTGTCTGTTTGATTACAATCACTCTGGTTGTTGTTAAGAGATATCTTAACTGTGGTTTTGATTTACATTTCCTTAGTGGTTAAAGATGTTGAGCATCTTTTCTTGGGTTTATTGGTGTTTTGTGGATATTCTTTAGAGAAATGTCAGTTTAGATCCTCTGTCTATTTTTTAATTGGGTTATTTATCTTTTTATTGAGTGTTTTTTAAAATATGTTGGGTGTACAATGTGTCTCTTATTAGGTGTGCTGCTTAAACTTTTTTCCTAAGTCATGGATTTTCTTCGCTTTCCTTGATGGTATTAATTGAACTACAGCATTTTTAGTTTTGATGAAATGCACTTTCTCTGATTTGTTTTATATTTACTTTTTAGTTGTAATCGGATACAATACCTTTATTTTATTTATTTGTTTTTATGTGATGCTGAGGATTGAACCCAGGACCTTGCACATGGTAGATGAGCACTCTACCACTGAGCCACAACTTGAGCCTCTCTCTGATATTTTTAAATTAAAAAAATTAAAACAAAATTTAGTCAATAATTATAATGTAAAAGTTACTTTCTTATCTATATTTTAGAATACTTTTTTCTACTCTATTGGTTCATTTTAGTTTTACATGACAATAGAATCCATATTGGTATAATTATAAAAGCGTGGAATATATCTTATTCAAAATCAGACCTCAGTACCTCTCCTTCTCCTTCCCTTTCCCCACATCTCACTCCCTTTTTTCTGTTGAAGGTTTTTTGTTTTTTTTTTTTTTGAACTGGGGATTGAAATTAGGGGCACTGGACAACTGAACCACATCCAGGCCTATTTTGTATTTTTATTTAGAGACAGAGTCTCACTGAGTTGCTTAGTGCTTATGATTGCTGAGGCTTTCTTTGAACTCAGCATCCTCCTGTCTCAGCCTCCCGAGCTGCTGGGATTATAGGCATGCAACACTGCGCTTGGCTATAGTTATTTTTTTAAAGTTACTTTTTTGTGGGTGTACACAATGATGAGATTCACTGTGGTGTGTTCATATATATACATAGGAAAGATGTGTCAGATTCATTCCTTTTCCTATCTCCTTCATTCCCCTTTGTCTAATCTACTGAATATTGCTTCTTGACCCCATCCTTCTTTGGTTTTTTTGGGATTGGCTTACTTCACTTAGCACGATATTTTCTAATCCATTGATTTACCTGCAAATGCCATGATTTTATTCTCTTATAATGCTGACTAATATTCCATTGTGTATATATACCACAGTTTCTTTGTCCATTCATATCTTGAAAGGCATTTAGGTTAGTTCCACAATTTAGCTATTGTGAATTTTGTGCTGTGAACATTTATGTGGCTGCATTACTATAGTATGCTGTTTTAAAGTCCTTTGGGTATAAACTATAAACGGTTCAATTTAAATTGGATAAACAGATGAAAATAAAAATGTCTTAAAATTAAGCTTAGAAGTTTATCTATATGTTTAAAAAACTAATAAAATGTTGATGTCTATGAAATGTCTGATATGCTTTGATTCTAGGACTTTTCTTCAACAAGGAAGAAATGGCTAACGCTGTTCAATACACTTGTCTGATGTTTTGATAAAATAAGTAAAGTAAATTTGACATGGGATTACTCATTTATGAATATTTTTGTTAGATATCTGATTGATTTACAAGGCTAAAATGTTAAATATACCATTAAGTTATTCTTAACTCCTTAAATTACATTGGGTAACATTACTGATGTTTTCATAAGTTGGTTAAAAAAAAAGATATAAAGTTTCTTTGTCATCCCTGATACTTAGACATGGTGTTTTCATAAATTGGTAAACAGATGTGATTCTAGGTTAAAAAAAAGTTTCCAGAGATTTCTATATACAAAAGCCCAAAAGTTTCACCTGTTTCAATTAAGAGTACTATAAGTAAAATGAAATATTTCTTTTTATTCAAATGAAATAAGCTGCCTAAATTCAGAAATTTACAAGGATTGTTTCAAAATGTGAACAGAAAAGGAGGTTAACAGATGGAAAGGAGAAATTAGAAGGTTCTAGATATGGAAATATTTTTTAATAGAAGAGAAAAAAGTGTTCCTGGATAAGAAAGTCTTTATGTGATGAAGTACATAAGAAAGTTTAAGTAAGTGACAAAGAAGGACTGTGTAAGTTTGTCTTTACAATCAGTCATATGTTAAAAGGACAAAGATTTATTAAAATATTAGTTTACCCATAACATTGTGTTCATTAAGTTTTGTTTCTTGTTTCTAGAGCAAGTAATCTTAAAGGAATTAAACAGCTGGTTAAACAAGAACTATTTTTTTAGAAAATTGTGCTAGTGTATTTCTTTAAAAGCTAAACTTGGTTAATATAAAAACATCAATGTAATTGTGGTGCTATTAATGTGTTCATATCTTCCAGGTACAAGTCAAATCAGAGAGACTGGTTTTGGGTGAGTTAAAAAAAAAAAAAAGTTGGAGACTTTTACCTGAGGGATTAAAATTCCCTCAGTGTTCTTCCCCTGCCCTATCAAAGACTTGAAAGGGACACATAAGAAAAGGGGTGAATGATAGACCCAGTCTGATACCCTCTTAAAATTGGGAGCCATCTCACCACAAAGACATGAAAGCTAATTTTGGCTTTACTATAAATTACTAAAAATTCTGAACTTGCTTGGAATGCCTGCCTGTGCCTTGAACTCACCCATGCCAGGATCTCTCTGACCAGATAATAGCCCTCTCTAAAACTTTAGTGACACCTCATAAATCTTTGTTTTCCCTGGCCAGATAACCTTCTCTGAGGCTCTAATGACCTTCATAAATTCTGATGTTGGGGCCAGCAAAAATATAAACTAGCATTGGTGTTATACTCCTCAGGGTTTTGTTATCTGTAACCCCCCTTTGTGTAACTTTCTGGGCTATAAAGCTAGGCTGCAAGAAAGCCGCAGGGCTGCTTAGTCCCATGGCTTTTGTTGGGAGAAGCAGCCTGACCGGTCAAAATGATCAGCTTGCTTTAATTTGATTTTAATTGGAGTTAATTGTCTTTTCTTGTGTCCTGTCTAACAGCACCACCCAAAAAATAAGCAAATAAAATAAAGGCATGCTGTCCATTAAAACTACCAAAACAAACAAACAAACAACAAAAAAAATAGAGTTAATTAAGAGGAAAGAAAATGAGCCA